CGTCGATGGAGGAGAAAGATTGGGAAGAATTGCAACAACGAGCGGCAGGAACCATACGATTATGCTTGGCGGACGAGGTTATGTATCACGACATGCATCTATCGTCTCCAGACGAAATTTGGAGGAAGTTGGAAAGTCAGTTTATGTCCAAATCCTTAACGACAAAATTGTATCTAAAGCAGCGGCTATATGGGCTGAAGATGCAGGACGATCATGATTTGGCGCAACACGTGAATGTCTTCAATCAAATCGTTTCTGATTTGGCTCGGCTTGATGTAAAAATTGAGGATGAAGACAGAGCGATGATTTTGTTGTGTTCGTTGCCTCCCTCTCACGAACACATGGTGACTACTCTTACATATGGGAAAGAGACTATCAATGTTGAGGAGATTACTGCAGCCTTGTTGGCTCACAACCAGCGGAAGCAGAATGCAGGCGAAAACTCTCAAGCCGATAGCTTATATGTCAAGGGTAATCGAGACCGTGGACGGAAGCCAGAGAAGGCAGGGTCTTGCAAGCGGAATTCCAGATCCAAATCTAGGGATAAGAAGACAATTCACTGTTACAAGTGCAAGGAAGCGGGACATATGAAGCGAGACTGTCCGAAGCTGAAAAAGCAGACTGATGAGAAGCGTGATGTTTCATCCAAGTCTGTGAACGTGGTCGAGGATGACAATTCTGATTGCAGTGAGGGTGATATGTTTTCTATTTCAACGACTCAATTGATGGATCCGTGGATTCTTGATTCTGGATGTTCTTATCACATCACGGCAAATAGGGAATGGTTTTTGACATACAGGTCGGTTAATTCTGGTTTTGTTTATTTGGGTGATGATCGATGTTGCAATATTGTTGGTATTGGTGATGTCAGAATTAAGATGTATGATGACTCTGTTCGGACGTTGAGTGGTGTTCGACATATCCCAGATTTGAAGAAGAATTTGATTTCTTTGGGCACTTTGCACAAGAATGGTTTTATCCCTAAGGCTGATGAGGATAGGGAAACCATTCGGATTGTTAAAGGTTCTTTGACTGTGATGAAAGGAAAGATGACTGCAGGAAATATTTATAGATTGTTAGGGAGTACCGTTGCAGGTGGAGTTCATTCTGTTGAATCCTGTGATGATACTACAAAACTGTAGCATATGCGTATTGCTCATCTTAGTGAACGTGGTATGACAGAATTACACAAAAGAAATCTGTTGCATGGTGTCAAAAGCTGTAAGCTCAATTTTTGCAAGTATTGTGTTCTTGGTAAACAGACTAAAGTTCGTTTCAAGACTACGAAGCACACAACTCAAGGGATTCTTGATTATGTGCATTATGATGTATGGGGGTCTTCCACGACATCGTCTTTGGGTGGATCTAGGTATTATGTTACTTTTATTGATTATTTTTCACGGAAAGTTTGGGTGTATTTTTTGAAACAGAAATCTGAAGTTTTTGAGAAGTTCAAGCTGTGGAAAAGAGAGGTAGAAAACCAAACAGGACGAAAAATCAAGTGTTTGCGGTCTGACAATGGTACAGAGTATACATATTCACAGTTATTACACTTCTGTAAAGAGCACGGGATTAAGAGACATTTTACAGTGCGCAAGACACCACAATAGAATGGTGTTGCGGAACGGATGAACAGGTCGTTGAATGAAAGAGCCAAATGTTTGCGGTTGAATGTGGGGCTTCCCAAACACTTCTGGGCCGAGGCTGTTAACATGGCGTGTTATCTTATCAACAGATCGCCAAGGGCATCATTGGCTGGGAAAGTTGCAGAAGAGGTATGGACTGGTCATGATGTTAGTTTTGATAACTTACAGATTTTTGGTTGTCCTGCTTATGTGCATGTACCTGCTGATGAGAGATCCAAACTTGATGTAAAATCGAAGGAGTGCATTTTTCTGGGTTACAAGAAAGGTGTCAAAGGATTCAAGTTCTGGGATCCAGTTACGAAGAAAATTGTGATCAGTAGAGATGTTATTTTTGATGAACAATCCATGTTGCAACAGAAGAAAGACACGACAGTGGTGGATTTCGAGCAGTTTCCAGTTGAGAAACCAGAAACGTCTCAACCAACTTCTGGTGGTTCCACTACGGATGATTTGCAGGATTATAGTCTCGCCAGAGACAGGGTGAGACGGAAGAATATAAAGCCTCCGAGTAGATTGGGTTTTAAAGACTTGGTCTCTTTTGCACTTATTGTTAGCAGTGATGATCCGGTTACTTTTCATGATGCTGTTACTAGTCAGGAAAATGACAAGTGGATGGCAGCCATGGTTGAGGAGATGGAGTCTTTGAATCACAATCGTACATGGGAGTTGGTTCCCCTTCCTGAGGGTAAAAAGCCGATTGGTTGCAAATGGGTGTATAAGAAGAAACCAACAGTAACAGAAAAAGAGGGGGAGAATTTCAAGGCTCATTTGGTAGCAAAGGGTTTTTCACAGCAGAAAGGAGTTGATTATGATGAAATCTTTTCTCCTGTGGTCAGACACACTTCAATCCGAGCAGTACTTGCATTGGTGGCCAGTTGAGATTTGCATTTAGACCAGATGGATGTTAAAACTGCTTTTTTGCATGGTGATTTAGAGGAGCAGATCTACATGCGGCAACCTGAAGGTTTCACTCAACCTGGAAATGACCATTTAGTTTGCAGATTGAAGAAATCTTTGTACGGGTTGAAACAGTCTCCGAGACAGTGGTATAAACGGTTTGACTCCTATATGATCAAGATTGGCTACAACCGATGTGAGTATGATTGTTGTGTCTATGTTAAGAGCCTTGATGATGGTTCTTTTATTTTTCTATTACTGTATGTTGATTGCTGCGAAGAACATGGATGATGTTATCGGTTTGAAAACTTTATTGAGTCAGGAATTTGATATGAAAGATTTAGGTGCTGCAAAGAAAATTCTTGGAATGAAAATTTACAGGGACAGAGACTCAAGGAAACTGTGGCTATCTCAACGGGGTTATGTTAAAAAAATACTAGAAAGGTTTGCGATGAGCAGCGCAAAACCAGTTAGCACTCCATTGGCGAACCACTTTAAGCTCTCATCAGAACAGTGCCCTAAGACAGATAAGGAAGTTTAAGATATGGCAAAGGTTTCGTATTCTAATGCTGTTGGCTGCTTGATGTATGCAATGGTATGTACTCGTCCTGATTTAACTCATGTTGTTAGTCAAGTTTGTAAGTACATGTCTAAACCTGGTAAGCAACATTGGGAAGCAGTCAAGTGGATCTTTTGGTACTTAAAGGGTACTGTGGGACATGGAATTATTTTTAGTAGTCAACGAGATAATCCTTTGGTTGTAGGATATGTGGATTCAGACTATGCAGGTGACTTGGATAATAGAAGATCTGCGACAGGGTATGTTTTTACTCTTGGTGGAGGACCTATTTGTTGTAAGTCTACTGTTCAATCTGTTGTGGCACTATCTACAATTGAAGCTGAGTACATGGCAGCGGCTGAAGCTGCAAAAGAAGCTTTATGGCTCACTGGTTTAGTGAAGGAGTTGGGTGTTCAGCAAGGTGGAGTTCAGCTGCTCTGCGACAATCAAAGTGCTATTCACTTAGCTTAGAATCAGGTATATCGTGTTAGAACTAAGCACATTGATGTACGTTTTCACAAGATCAGAGAGTTGGTTGCATCTGGAGAGATTTTGTTTCAGAAGGTACACACTGATGAGAATGCCGTTGATATGTTCACCAAGCCAGTTACAACAGACAAGTTCAAGCATTGCTTGGACTCGTTGAATGTTTCAACTTGTTAAAGAAGTAAGGTAACCCAACCCACATTAAATGTTTCCTAAGGGGCAGGATATTCGCCAAGGTGGAGATTTGTAAGGTATGGCTCATAAATATACCGGTAAAGAGGACAGGAGATGGAGCGGAGTGAGCGAAGCGAACATCAACTGTCCTTACAAAGAAAATCTCGTAGAGGGGGTTACGATTATGTGGGTTGGGGGTGCGGGGGTTGTGCCCCCGCGGTACGGTACAAGGTTAATTTTGGAGTTATGTACCAGGGTTTTCTATTATAAATAGAGATGTAACCTAAACCTATTATTATTGGGGAAAAAATTTCTAGCGCCGCCTAGGCACCGAGGACGTAAGCACATTGCCGAACCTCGTTAAAATTCTTGTGTTCTTTTGTTTACTTTGCCCGATTTATCAATACCGATGTTTTGGACTAAAATGCCTTTAATTTTTTTTCTCAAAAATATATTTCTTCTGTCGTTGAATAAAAAAAATTCTACGAAGGTTAAATTACAAATTTATCCTTAAACTATTTTAGATTTACAAAAAAGTCTATAATTAAAATTTTATATAAAGTTCAGGGGTTAAAATAAAATTTTACCCTATCATTAAACCTATTTGTCTTTTCAATTTTGTAAAAAATTATATAAATTTTATGAATTTAAAATTTTTAAAGAAAATATATAAATTAATTATAGTAATATTATAGTAGAATTCAACATGTTAAAAAACAAATATATAATAAGGATAATTTGGTAAAATATACATTCCAATAATATTTTATTCCTTTAATCAAACACTATAATCTTACATTTCTACTAAACGAACCAAACACAAAATACAACATTCTCAGTAATCTTATTCCCGCTGGTAATCTTACATTCCGTGAACCAAACGCACCCTTAAGGTAAATTACATGAACGGTCCCTTCTTCGGTCGATCTTATTTTGACAATTGTTTTTTTAAAAAAACAATAGTTATACTTAGATCAGTTACGCTGTTACTTCGATATCTGCATTATGACTTGAGTATTCTGTTCATTTCCATATCATATGAGGCTAATTAATTATTTCAAAAATGGAACAACTTCATTGTCGTCCAGTGGTTAGGATATCTGGCTTTCACCCAGGAGACTCGGGTTCAATTCCCGGCAATCGAAGTATTGGGAAACTTTTATGTACCATATGCCACTTCTAATAATTTATTGCTGTCGTGGGTCAACAGACTCCAATAAACTATTACGAGCCTAAACTGGAAAAGGTTTGTTCATTGAAAATTTACCAATATCTCAGTCAATACGCATCCACATAAGTGGCTCAAAACATACAACAAAGCATCGTACAACAAGAATGGCTAGACATGGCCTGTAAATAAACGATTATATAGCACACATCACACCAAATAACAGGTAACTGTAAATCAAGGTGATTGGAGGCGAAGAGAAGTTGTAAAAGACTCGTCTCAAAACCGAAAGAAAACATAGATGCAGCAGACCAATGACTGGAGCCTTTGGGGTATGGTATAGTAGTTACTTCCCGATCCCGAGTTCTTTTGCTATCTCTCTTGTCAGGCTGAATTGTGAAGTGCCATGCCATGGAAATAAGGTCCGAGTAACTGGAAGTTTCCTCCGAAGATCCTGCATTGCATATAACATGAAGAATACTTTATATAGAACAAAGCAGTAGGGGATCTAATGGTGAAACATGAATCGATGAATGGTATAAACCTAACCTAATTCAAAAGGTTTCCTCATAACTTCTGGCTGAAAGAAAATTAAAACATACCTTGAAAGTGGTATCTGGTAAATTCAAATAGGATGCCTGCATTATGCCAAGACTGTCAGTATTGAATTCTGGAGAACTCAAGGAACTGAAATTAACCAGATGTTCAAAACAACCTCAAGAGATGCCAGGTACTCTGTCTCGTGGTGGCGAATTACGCTTTCTATGGCAATTGCACTATCATCAGGGGACTGAATCAAACAGAAAATAAGTATTAACCGTATGAAACCAACCAATATCATTTTCTTAACACAAAGGCCAGAAGCCGCTAAGCCAACAGCCCAACAGATCACAAACTTCCACCATAAATAATAACTACTACCCTTCACATGCTCTCACATTGGAATCTTTCCTCAAGACGATTACCATCCTAATATTGCAAGAAAGAACGAACCAAAGTATAACACAAGGTGAACAGGAGGAAAGACTCAAATTTAAAAGAGCTTGTCATTTGGAAGTAACCTGAAACATTGTAGAATCTCTACATTCATGTTTTGCATCTAATTGCACATTTCCCTCTTCAAAATAGTGTGCACCCACCTGGAAAGAGAATGAACTGACTTATTATAGGTTTGTGTAACTTTACGTGAATTTGGATATGAAATGTAGGAAGAACAGGCGGACAAGCTTGAATCAAACTTGTAAATAATCCAAAGGAAAATGTCTAGTATAGGAGGAACGACTGCAGATACTAAAGAAACAAGAACACAATTATGTCATGCACTACATCATGAAAAATATTGTAATACCTGAAATTTGCCTTTTAATTCCAGAACTTGAACATCATCTCTGAATTCAATGTTCCATATTGACCGCCAACTTCCATTACTATACAAAATGCCAAAAACCATTTTTAGAAGATAAACAGCTATGATCATTATCAGCAGGTAGTAAAAGTATTAGTCAACCATACGATCATGCAGTTGCAGTAGAATAATCACTACTACATTGTGGTCTAACAAATCTTACACACCAGAAATTTTGTGGGCTGAGTCTAGCGGCAGAAATCACTACAACAAGCTCAAAATCAGATCCAGGTCCCTCCACATCTTTTCCATTAACACAGTAAACTGAAAATGAACCTTTTGGATAAGCTTCGCCAACATACTTCAGCATTTCTGCTTCCAGAGCACATCTGTAAAGCAAAAAATGGGGATTAATTACAAGTAGTAATTTAAGTATTCGAATTAGGAAGTAATTAAAGTATTGTATGGTGTAGTGTGCCCTAATTCCAGTTATAAACTACCATTTGTTCTTTTTATGAGTTCTAAAAGAGAGCCAGTGATTCAAATAAAAAATATGGATTTCTCTCTTCATGATGTGTGCTACTTTCAGCAATAATGATAAAAACCCTAATGGGTAGATAATTATTTCCTTAACAAGAAAACTTCCAGACCTTATCAATGGTAGTAAAATAAAAATATACATGATCATGTGCCTGGGAGAGACCTTAGCATCAATCCAGGCAGGGAGTCAGTCAAAACCCATCAAAAGCAGAAATCTGAAAGCCTGAAACCTTAGGCTCCAAGACTTGAATAGAGACATTATTCCCATCCTAACAAGTAGGCAAAGGACCAATGGTAACAAAAAGCTACAAGTTTGGAACTGAACACTGTGTCCAACAAGCAGTGGTTTCGAACCAAATCATTTCGATATTAGGAACTTGAGATATAGGATTTTGCAAATTTGAGCTAGCTAGTAAATTAGTCCGATGGAGAAGCTAATCAACAATATTAGATTTCAGAGATATGCTTCTATTAGTTCATCAGAAATCAATTAAAGATACTATACATCCACCACAAATTTTGTAAAAACATACCGGTATTCCTCAATATATGGAGAGGGAAGCTCCTCGTCGGTGGCAGGTCTAACCTCTTTACAAACCTGATCCAATTTAGCACAACATGATATAAACATTTAAACTAAATAATGCACATTAATCGGCAAGTTTCACATACACAGGGTCATCCCCATCCTATAATCCACTTGCCATTAAAAAATGCAAGGTCAGGAAATGATATTAGAGAAAGGTTCTCTGATATTAAACAGAATTAAAAGTTTGCAATCACAAGATGTATAAGGCTAAAAGGTACCTGTTTGACATGATCAACAATGGCAACTTGGGTAGTCTTGGGGTCTAGATACTCATTATCCCCAAGCTCCCCATACTGTGTAACCAGAACCTAAAATTCAATAGGAGAAAAACATTGCAACAATTAGCTTTGTTTTAAAATCAGACTCACAGGAATCAGCGTCTCAACTAGCAGAACGGATATTGAAACTATCCTCATATTTGAATATTTGATAAGAATAACAAGCAAACATGAGTAATTGAGTTAATTGGATGACTAAAGGACCATAGCCAAGTGAAAAAGACACAATATTGGAAAAGAAGCATATTAAACACAATGATGGATACTCACTGCACTAGCAGTCAAACAAGGCACTCTAAAATGTCATATAAACCTCCAGCATTCAGAAAGTTTGACTTACCACAATGAACGGACTAAGAGGAGTTTGAATTTATCGCACGTAATCAAACTTAAACTACACCAAGAGGCAATAATTCTCGGAAAAACAATATACACAAAACGAACTAAACAAAAGCTGTTCCAATTTTCTAGCAATCTTACTTATATCAAGTACCCTCAGCCGCTGAAAATGCTGGAAAACGAACAAACTGGAATGACTTAATTTTACTAGAAACATAACTGTGAGCTACAAACTATTAACTCTTAAAACAGATTATACTGGTTTCTAAGACTTACATCGCCAAATCTACCAGGCATTTCGAGGCAAATCATGTGAGATTTGTTGTAAACAGGAAATGCCTCCGATGCCGCTTCATCGTACACACCGTCATCCTTCAAAACCGATTTTAGATCTGGAAAAAGAATAAACAAATTAAAAAATCGAAAAGAAAATAATTAAAGACAAATAGAACGATCCAAATCGAACGTAGATCCAGAAAACAAGAAAGATAGTAGAACTAATTCATCAAACCGATCAATCAGGAAAGAGAACACAAAACGGTCAGTGGAAGCAGGAAACGCAACGCTTTAAAACGACATTGGAGACATGGAAAGAGGGAGACCTTTGGCGACGTATTGGATTTCGCCAGCCGGGGCGTTGAGGAGGAACCATTTGGCGATCTCTTTCTTTTGCTTGTCGCTTAGCGCTGTTTCTTGTTCTGCCATAACTTTATTTCTTGATATCTAAAAAGAAAAGTTTAAAAGGGGGAGAAAAAAAGGGCAGATGAAGTGGTTGAGTGGAGGGAAAGCAGAGGGAGGAAAATGAAAAAGAGAACGATTATCTGTAAAGCTTACTCTTACTGGTCTGTGAAACCATAACTAACTATTCAAGAAACCGTCAAATATAAGGAAAAAGAAAACATTTCCCCCTGTGGGGTTATAGCGTAATTATCTAGTTGTGAGTAAAGTATTGAAGAAAAAATGATTTAATTTGATTCATAAAAAAATATGACTCAATTGATTCAACTTATAAATTTATAAACTTAACTTGATTTAAAAAAATATAACTTGATTTAAAAATATATAACTTGATTTAGTAACTAGATGATTCGTTTTTAAATTTAAGTCAAGTCTCATCAATTATATATAATATATTTATATCTCAAATGAAAAAATGTAAAGAAATATATAAATGTATTGTATATGGTTATAGAAAACCATTTATGTAACACTCAAATCCAAATAAAACAAATCAAAGGGTTTGGGCATTATACGGAACCACCAAAGTGGCTAACCATTTTTTCATTTTCCAAAATATAATTCATCATATTTAAGAGTAAAATAAAGTAATAGTAGTTAAGTTTACAAACCGATGAGCTCCCAAAATAATTTATTAAAATAAAATAATCCAAGAGTTATGATTTGAATACAAAAGGGTCTATGATAGTACATGCCCACTATAATAATCAAGATATACTTTATTGTTGCTACTACTATCTGGAATCCAAAGGTATGGTGATATGCTCTCGAGTCTGTCACCTACTAACCTACGAACATAAACAATTCCGAACGCTGAGCTATGAGCTTAGTGCCACATAAACGACTCCATTATAGTATATGCATCCATTAGCTACGGATGTTTAACAAGTTAAGTCATGATGTAAACATAATGCAATAACCATAAATCATAACATAAGGATATGTGTCACAACATCATAAGGATCATAATACGATTGTCACTATATATATATATACGTATATAACAAAAGTGCCTTAGCACTGATACAAAAGTGCACTAGCATTGGCTCAAAAGTACAATCGCACTGATATAAAAGTGTCATAGCACTGGGGGGAGATAATCTGGATATCTCTGCTCTCATATTCGAATAGCATATGCATACGCTCAAGTAACCTGGGTGTCCTCGTTGTTTCTCGAGCATCAAACAAAAGCTAACTTTATGCCACGTAAATTAGTGTTGTTGTTCATAAGGGTTTCGAATGTTATTATCGCTTATAGTCTTATTTAAGAACTCTCGGTGCCCTCATAACCCTCTTCTTAAGATTTCAAAGTTAACAAAGTTTTCATTCCAAAAAGAACGTCAGTATCGATGCTGGGCCTATCAGTATCGATACTGGTCTTAGGGTATCGATATTGGCCCTAGGGTATCTATATCAAATTTAGCTTCGATGTTTTGGAATTTACCTCAGTATCGATACTCCTACGTAGAGTATCGATACTCTACCATGGGTATCGATACCAATTTTGCACACTAGAATCCCGGTATCGAACCACACCCTTTGGTATCAAGACCAGACTCTGAGTATCGATACTTCTTGAAGGGGTATCGATACTCACCCTAAAAAATTTCCCAATTTTACCTTATACAAAGAATAATATTGGTATTGTTCTTACTAATACTGACGACCCAGAGTGCTCTATTAAGGCACGAAAATGGCTTCTTAGAGCCTCTCAAAAGCCCCCTTAAGGCTACCAAAGGTTTGTTAAGTTTTATGGGGTTATTTAACATTAAAGTAAGTCATTTTAACATATCAAAAGCATCAATTAAGCATGCTACCATAATGACCCACTTTACAACCAAAGAACAAAACAAGCAAGCAAACATAAACTCATGGCTTACATATGGTAAAGGGGAGTTACTTATGTGTTACCTTAACTCTAGTTGATGAAGAAAGACTTCAAGAGTCACCCAAGCACCAACTTTTCCTTGCTCTTAGCTTTAAAGCACTCCCCAAGATCTTACACTACCCAAAGCAAGCAAATGATCAAAATTTCATTTTTTAAGCCTCTAAATGTTTAAATACATGTTTCTAAACATTTAAGAACAACTCAGAATCATTCTAAACCCTATAACTGAAACCTATCAAAAACCCAAGTTTTCCCACCATAGCCAAACCTTATGATTTTGGGCTTGAATTAAAGCTCTAAGGGTATAGATTACCTTTCTTGCCTTCTTGAAACTAGACTAGCTTCGTAGAATGATAAAGCTTTCACATTTTTAATTTTTTGAGATTAAGAAAAGAAGAAATGAAGATGATGACAAAGTATGAAGAAAAAGAGGAGAAGATTTTCTCTGCATCCAATCTCATTTACATCATCCCTCTTTAAAGAAATTCTACCATATTTTCAAAAAAGAGTTAAATTACTCAATTGGTCCCTCCTCTTTTAAGCCTAATTCAAAGATGCCAGTTTTTCACACTTAGTGGAGCCTAATTCCTTCATTCTTGACTCAATTAGTTTAGATTGAACTTATTTAACACTCCAAGCCCAACGTTTAATACTCGAAACTACTAACCCGATTTCCAGGGTGTTACAATTTAAATTATAATCAAATGGTACCATAATAATATAAATATTTACAATTAAATTTAAATATAAACTTGAATAACTTAATTCGAAAAAAAATTAGTTGACGAGTAACTTAATATTTTTTGAACAAATTCAACTCAACTTGATCAAACACTCACTCTTACTTGTAGTCATTGTATACGACGTCATCTCATTGACTGAAATTGAAAAAACATATTAATATAGACTAGTACAAGTCCAGGTTATCTGTTAATCTCAGAGATCAACGATGATTATAAGTTTTGAATAAAAATGTAGGTAAGTTACGCCAGTTGTAGTACATTTTTATTTGGATTATTCTTCTACGCTTGACGAGCAACGATAAGAAGCACTAACGATGAGCATTGTTGAGTCAAATTTTCAGTGGAGTGAGGAGTAAAAATTGACATTTTAACTTTAAAGAATAATTTTATATATTCGAATGATTGAATCGAATATAATCTTAAAATTTGTAAAAACTAATTAACAATTTTGTTTAGTATATCAAAATATCAAAGTGTTTTCAACAAGCACCATTAATTTAATTTATTGTAGCACCCCAACCCGTACCCGACCCGGATACGAGTCTGAGATGTCACATTGACTTTTTAAAACAATATTCTTAACAAAATAACAGAACATTTGGACTTATATTAAGAAAATACGATAATATACATAGGTTTATACAAAATTCCCAAAATACTCAGAGCATACATAACTTAAACATTTGATTACATGCCAACATTTATTTACATAACAAAATAACCTACTATTTAAGTTGCTTCTGATCTGACAGTGGTAGAAGAAATGATGTTCAACTGTCTAATCTCACTTGTCTACCTTCTCGGATCCTATTTGTGAAACACTCACACGCTAAGTCATCGACTTAGTAAGGCATAATAATAATAACAATGAAATATAATGATAATGCCATAATGATATGAAATGTAATGAAATCACATATTTAATCAATGCAATTTACATAACCATGTTTCTTACCCATAAGCTTGTCAAATTAACATTCATGAATTCATATTAATAAGTTCACTAGCCCATGATACAATACTGAAAACCTAAGGTATGTGAGTACTGTGAGGTTGTGCACTATGTTGTCACCACAGCTCGTATAAATGCACCGAAGTACCACGTAGAATTGCACCGAAGTGCCGCTTAGAAATGCACCGAAGTGCCATATAAGATGTCCATAATGACCGCATAAAAATTCCTTAAGAATCATATACATATACCAAGGATCAAGTATGTGTCTCAAAAGACATAATAAATGTTCCAAAGAATACATATATGTCCCGAAGGACCACGTAAACCCTCTACTCTTGGCATGCCAACTATACATATAGTTCTCTTCTACATAACATGGGCTTTTCACAATTTACATAGTATATCTCATAGACATATAATTTCTTACCTTTATCACATAGCTCATATAACTTTTCATGCATGTTCATTTAAAATGTGTCGCATAAAGCATATGATATGAACTCATATCATGTTTCATAATATAAAATGAATCATGTATCAAAGTATTAAATCTAGACTTATCACAAGTCTAGAACTGAATATACTACTATAATCATGCTATGCATATGTACTCACCTAGATCTCTTTGTCTTTCCCTCGATCGATTTTACTTCCCAAATGTTCCGAAACTTGTTTAGGCTCAGTATCTACATAAATATGATTTCTAAGACGATTATCAGAATCCTAAACCTTATAATTCGATGTTAATAACTTAAACTAATTTAATAAACCATAATTCATTTTTCCCTTAAGGAGTATATCGGTACCCAAATTAGCTTCGAAATTCAAGGGTATCGGTACACTCCTTAATGTATCGATACACAATGAAGTTGTTCTTCAATTTTGGTCTTAGTGTATCGGTACCTATTCTCAGTGTACCGATACACCATTCCCAGGACAGGCTTTTCACCCAAAAATTCCTCAACTTCTCACTAAATTTCCTCATATAAAGCCCTTTTTATACCACCAAAATCGACTATAAACACTTTAATTAACTTATATCATTTCAACATCTTATTATCTCCCACATCTCATCCAAATTCTTAAAACCAATAATCTTACTAAATTTTCCATGTTATCCAAACTTTGATTTAACACTTATAATTTCTTATTCACACCTATGACAAGTCAAATTCAGCTTCTAAATTCATTTATACATCTTTATTCAAAATCTCACTTATCCACTTCTTCCCTTTAATATTCCATAACTTACAACTCTTTGAGTTTCTAAGTCCCTTTTTATCTCCATCATCTTTCCTAAAGCTTTATTAACAAAAACCTCACTTAACTCTTAAGGATTAACCAAAAGAAATCCAACTTACCTTTGCTTAAGTACTTCATGGTGGAGAAGAAGAAAGCTGAAGAAGTGAAGTCTGGAAACTTGGTTTCCCAAACATATGCTCCACGTGGGTATTAAAATATCCTCAACCAAATTTTTTAAT